GATTACAAACATGAAATACAATTGGTATTTCATTAAGTTGTACTCGTATTATAGGTCACAGGCTCAATTACTTTTATTATTATGTTTTACCTCGCGTCAGCTAAAATTGTATTAAAATCATCATCAAATTAGATATATGGAATATACTCAACTGAAGTAGCTAAATTTTATATAATGAGTTGAAGTGAAAACCTAAACCAGAGGATCACAGTTCATTATTTTAGGGATATAAGGTTTGTAACAAAGTCTAGACCAATTTCATTCATATTCCCACCAATTGTATTAAAGTATCAGGAGCAAAGTCGTAAATTATTATACAGGCTATATTGGGTCAGCCAAAAGGGATTGGCTGATTGAGTTAATTTTGACATTGCTAAAGTATACTTGAGATAATATTTTCAAGGAATTTTATGAAAATGTAACTCACACAATAAACACCATGTTCGGCATAACGATTGTTAGAATACCGAAAATCAATATATGTATGTAGTATTTGGGAGTTGGGGTAATTCGTAGTTAAAATTCACATATTTTCGGCATTAAACTATAGTATATTCAATATTATACGTTCAGTTAATTTTGCTAAGATATCTTATGTATTGACTGATATATATGGCATAAGGCCAACCGAAAGTTTGAACATTTTATATTAGGTATATGGAAGATAGGGGTTTTATTGACCCGATTTTTATCTAGTTTTGGCAATACAACATATTTTTAACAAAATAAACTGCTTCCTGAGCAACCGGATGTTTGAAAATTCATATATTGGCCGATATATGCTGTATGGAATGAACCGGAAGTTCGAAAATATTTATATTGGGTATATGGGAGCTAAGGGAAGTATTGCCCTGATACAGCCCATTTCTGACATTCAGACATACTACTATCAGGAAACCTGCGGTCATAACGTGGCAGACTGCAAGGGCATTATTCGTGCAATGTTTCATCTCGTTATAATCATTGCTTCCTGATATACTGGAAACTGAAAAATGAGATGGGATTGAAAATTATGGTATAGTAGGCGTGGTTGTAGTCCGATTTGACACATTTTCGAATTTGTACCGAATTTGGTTGAAATCAGTCCAGTAGTTCGTGAGATATGTGCTTTAACTTAAATGTAGGCGGTGTCACGCACTTCGTCCAAGTTTTACATCGGCTCCTATAAAACGCCCTTGTACCACCCACATGTAAAGTTTAATGTCTCTGATGCATTTGGTTATTGATTTATCGCACTTTTAGCAACAAAACCATTATATGTGGAATGGGCGGGGTTACCTCCCAATTTCATCAATTTTCACATAATCAAAGGAAGAGTCAAAAACATGTATTTTGTGGAAATTTGGGTCTTATAGCTCGAATGGCTTAGGAGATATATATTTACAGGTATATATCTTAATTTAGCGCTTAGTTTTGGCATTTTATAGGTTTTCGATTAATGACGTTTTGTGGGCGTGGCAGTGGTACGATTACGCCAATTTAAATACCAAACTTCTTATAGTGCCAAGGAACATGTGTACCAAGTTTCATCAAGATATCTTAATTTTTACTAAGGTCACAGCTTGAACGAACGGACGAACAGACGGACAGACAAACAGTCTTCTGGATTTGAACTCGTCTCTTCATCCTGATTATTTACATATACATATATAAGCCTATCTAACTCGATTATTCTTAGGTGGTACAAATTACCGTTCGGTGAACAAAACTATTATACTATGTAGCAACATGTTGCAAGAGTAGAAAAACATATAATTTTTCGATAGTGAAAAATAAGTAATTGGAATCATAAATTCGCAGCTCTTAAAGTTATGGTGCCAGCTACGGATTTATCTGATATGAACTCTGATATGGTCCTACGGTTTTAAATAAATTATGCTAATGTGCCCCTTATGCTAATGTTCCCCCTCTCTTATATTTATAAATATTTTAAGCAATTGGCGGTACTGTCAGCGCCATTTAAGGCCTATAAAATGCGTATGCTCAAATGTGGGCATTTATAGCATTAATTCAAAACTTTTTTGAAAGGTGAGCGGACTATCGACGACCATTTTCATAATCTGCTTAATAAATTTGTATTTTTCTTCAATGTAAGAGGCTTATTTTGACGTAGACCGGCAATTTATGTGGCGCCAACGATTATAATTATATATGACATGATCTACACACGCTCAACAAATGTTGCTTTCAATAAGCTATGTTTAGTAAAATTACTTACTCTAAATGCAAATTCAGCATTCTCGAATAGCACAGAAGACTTTAATTTTTCTAAATATTTAAAATATACATGTTTTCACGAAATATGAAATAAATTAAATTTACTTCTTCTTACTCAAGGGTAATAACTTGTTCGTATCGACAAAACATCACGATATTTTTTTACAAAGCTACATATATGCAAAAGTTCTAGATTCTTAACTTTGTGGCAGAAAGTAAATTGAAGATAGACAGAAGACTAATAATTCAAAGCAGAAAAATAATAGAGTTGCAACAATAATGTTTATGCATTCATAAATTGTTTATATCTTTATTGTGAAGGCGTTTATATTTAATTTTTTTGTTTTTGGTTTTGACGGACATTTCATTTATATTAATCATAGCAACTGGTTTACATGTCCGTAGGTGAATAATGGTTGAATACCGTATTGCAATTAGAGATTTGAATAAAGCGGGTAGAGTTTTTTAATTTAACTAGCTCTATATATGAAATTATTGGTAGTCTTGATTTTTAATGCAAAACTATTTATATACGAGAAAAATAACTACTTTTCTAATATTCGACCAAATCAATTTTTTTGAAGGATTGAGTCATAGCCTCCAAATTTTTGACTGTTACGCATTACTCAATCACTCGAAAACATTAGTTATACCCAATCGAGTGTTGACCAGTGTAATAATAGATGTATTTTATTTTAAGTATATAAAATTATATACATTTACATATAATTTTAAAATGTGTTCTAGATGCATTAGTATATATTCCAACAATTCTTCCACTGCTACGGCGCTGTTTGCCTTAGCTGAACCAAGTTTGTTTGGGCTGTTTGATATTGTGGCAAACTTCTCGTTAGGATCGACTAATTTATTTCGTTTTGAACTTTCAGGTTATACGTTGGTTACTCTGTCAATACAAAACTTTGAGTGTGTATTTCGAGTTGTCATTCTGTTGTCTTCTCTTGGGCATGCTCGGCTAAGGTTTCTTAGAAACTTGTCTGAGATTATTTTGCTGGAATAATGTTGCTTCAGTTGCTGATGTCGCATTTTTTGCTTACTTCTAACTAAAAAGTAGGCCTAGGCGGGGCTGTGATGCATTTTTACTTTTTTTAATGGATTTTCACAGAAGTTAGTACAATTTTTACTGTTTTTGGCACTGATTTTTTTACATGTTTCATTATGATTCAAGAATTTTTTTCATTATTTGTGCAATGAGATATAATTACCATAAAAATATGAAAATAAATACATATTTATGTATTTAAAAAATGTAAAAAATAAAGGTACCCTTTAATTATGATAATCTCGTGTATATCGGATTTTAATTTGCATATACTTGGCTGCTCTTTAATATAATATAAAATTCAGATAAAATTATAAGTAGCCACGAATTTACCATTTTATGTCTTACGTAAAAATACTGTCATCTTCACAAAAAATTGTGTTGTCATTAAACCAGAATTATAGAATTATTAAATACAAAAAAAAAAATAGAAACGTTTTCGAAAAATTTCACTAGTATATAGATTTTAAATTCAGCTCTTGTACATCTGCAGTAACGCACGTAATACTGGATAATAATTAAGAAAACAAAAATATACTAAATAACTAATTAATGGTGCCAGAGAAAATGTATTTGCATGCAGATTTAGTAAACTGGTAAGACTTAAATAAGCAAAACAAGTAAGGAAGGGCTAAGTACGGGTGTAACCGAACATTTTATACTCTTACAACTTGCAAGGATGAAAACAGGTTACTTACTTTTAGGCGTTCGCAAAACTTTATAATAACACTCAGGAAAGGATTTTTTCCCAATTTCAAACTCACAGATATTTCCGATAAAATGTTCGCTGCGGGAACTGAGGACCACATATCCGGCATCTGTGGGCACTGAACACTTGTTCATAAGGTGGCCTATTGTATGATTTGCCAATTTCGTCTAGTTTCGGAACATGGGAATGTTAAAATAAAGGTACATACCAAAATATGTCGATTTCGGTCGAGTAGGTCCTGAGATATGGCTTTTTACCTTTTTAAGGAAAACTTAAGGAGATATAAACATTTAACCTTTTAGAGGGTGGAGCCACGCCTACTTATTAAAAAAAATTCTAAAACCACTTGTGCCCCTTTTGTTTAATGGTGTTTTGTGGGCGTGGCAGTGGTCCAATTAAACCCATCCACGAACTCGTCCTTTCTTTTTTGCCAAGGAGCACGTGTATCAAGTTTTATTACGATATCTCAAGTTACAGTTTGCACGGACGGACATACAGACATCCGGATTTCAACTTGTCTCGCCAACCTGATCATTTATATATACATAGCCCTATATCTATCTCGATTAATTTTAAGTGATACAAACAACCGTTAGGTGAAGAAAACTAGTATACTCTGTAGCAAAATGTGCAAGAGTATAAAAATTTTATATAAGAATAACATGACTTTGAAAGTGGTGAATTGAAACAAATAGATCGATGCTATTCAATTCTTTTTCCAATATTGTCCAATTAACAATAGAAAGCAATTACAAAAACTGCACAAAAAATTGCCAAATCGCCGAAGCTTAAAGGAAATGATGCTGTTTAGAAGATTGTTGATAACAATATTTGACTAAAAAGATGTTTTGTGTTTTATTAAAACCCATGCTGTTAATCATATCTAAAATTAATTGTTCATATATGTATATAACTCGATTATTCTCAGATATATATGTGTGCTAATATAAGCATAGTGTATTTGTTTTACTATTTATTTCTATGGACTTTGTATAATTTTTATCCACTCTTCAGTGAGGTGGACGCAATTCGTTCGGACCAACAAGCCGCCGCTGACGATGTCGATGGCTACCTTAGTAACCCAGTAAATGCTTATCGTCTTATTAAACGACTGCAGAGTGACTGGAACACATTTGAAGATGTTATTCGTGCGGATACTAGTCGTGCGGGTACGTATTTATCAGGTGTACTGGAATGAAATCAACGTTTTTTCGTGAAAATGAAATTTTGAATGGGATAGTAAAAAAAAATTATTCAAAGTATTGACCATTGCTGTTTACACATTTTGACCACCTTTCTGCCAATTTCTGGATACCATGCCAATAGAAATTTTCGTAATTCTCGAAGTGTTCAGGTGAATAGTAATAACAGTAAATACCCGAAAGCGAAGAGGGAAAATTTCGAAAATAATAGAAAACACTTTAGAAATACTTGAAACTAAATGGCAATTTTAAAGGAACTCATTATTTCAGGAACTAGAGATCATTGACCATTTTCATCAGAGTTCGGTCCAACATAATATCACTTCTCGAGAAATCTCCCCAACTTAAGTCAATCAAATATTTTAAGGACTTATATTTTATTCCTAGACTTCCTAAGTCGTATGGAAACATATCGACAGACATTGGACTTCCCCACCAAAGAAGACGTTATTGGTTCAGCGGTGGCTTTAGTCCGGCTACAGGAAACTTACCAACTGGATGTTGCCGAACTGGCGAGCGGTATTTTGAATGGGATTAAATATGGGTGAGCAAGCCACTATAAGTCATAACGAAAACCACCTTTTTTATACAAAAAATCCCAATACTTCGTATAGTCCTTCAATGTCTTGGCAAGATTGCTTCCTACTCGGCCATCATCTATATGAAATACAGGATTTCAATCACACCGTTCCGTGGCTCAAACAGTCAATGCAAATGCTCAAGAGTCAGGACTCCACCAAAGATGCGGAGACGCTGGATTTTATTGAAACAGTTGTAGCCTATCATCGCGAAATGGGTGAGGGAATAAGAGTGCAAGCAAATGTTGAAGAAATACCATAATTAATGGATCCAAACTTGATGACATTCCTTTTTTTATTAGGTGACTTTGAGACTGCTTTGGAACTGACAAATTATATTTTGTCCTTTGATGCGACACGCGAGCAAATGAGAGATACCAAGTACTACTTGGAGCGCATGGTGAGCGACGGTATTAAGGCCGGCTTGATGCATGAAATGATACCACAGGCGGGTGACTATCATGTGAGTTGAAAATAAAATACTCTGTCAATTGATTCTAATTCTTCTGTGTCGCACATTGCTTAGCTCAGCAATGATTTCAAGCGCTACGAACAGGTGTGTCGTGGTGAATTGCAGCTCACTGCGGCCGATGAGCGTCCACTTCGTTGTCGCTTTGATAGTAATAATGCGCCTTATCGTCTGCTACAACCGTACAAAGTGGAAGAACTCTACCTGAACCCGAGGGTACTGCAAATATACGATGTACTCTCCACTAATGACACAGATGCCGTAAAGCAGTTGGCCAAAACGCGTATGTCCCGGTCGCAGGTGCGAAATCTAGATGGTAGCGCTGCGTCGTCAGCCAATTATCGCATCAGTAAGAGCGCATGGTTTGCTTATGAAGAGAGTGGGCAAATGCAGAAAATGCTGCGACACATGGGGGATTTGTCGGGTTTGAATATGAAATATGCCGAGCACTTGCAGGTGGCCAACTATGGTATCGGCGGACACTATGAACCACATTTCGACTTTTTTACAGTATGTGCAAACATAATTTAATTAATGAACAGTGTATTTAAGATTTTATTACTTCAATACGACTTTCATAAATAATTTGTTTTCTAGGATAATTGTACTTATAACTTATCGGAGGGAAATCGTATTGCCACTGGCATATTTTATGTAAGTTCGATGAAAGAAAAATAAAAAATTTTATTTAATATATATTGCATGTATTTATGTAATTTATATTTCTTTACGCTAATTCCTGATCCAGCTCTCGGATGTGGAGGAAGGTGGCGGCACCGCTTTTCCCTATCTTCGCTTGGTTGTTAAACCGCAGCATGGAAGCGTGCTGCTCTGGTATAATTTACATCGTTCCGAGGAGCCGGATTATCGCACTCGCCATGCTGCCTGCCCGGTGTTGAAGGGCTCTAAGTGGAGTGCGTACATTATTCATAATTTTTTAAGTCTTTACGAAATCTAAATTTTAACGTAATATTTTGTATTTAATTTTCAGTTGGTAATATTTGGGTACGCGTACGCAATCAGGACCGTGACCGTCCATGTGGTCTCTTACCTGATCACCAGGTGTCGCTAAAATACAAACATTTGGTTTAAATACTCGTATGCCTTTGTACCTATTTATGTAATTTTATATTGATGAAGCAAGTATTTGCTTCTATAAAAGTATTTATGTTGTGTTATTTGTTTTTTCAAACGAATTTTTATCTCAACTATTGTGATTTTTAGGTTTAAATAAAGATTTATTATAACTGTATGAAAAGCTTTTCAGTAGCTCAATTCAGCTTTGTTAGAAATTTTAATTAAATTAAAGTGACTAGGGTGGAGCTATTTTTGTAAATTCGACAGAAATCAAGGTTAGACGAAAATATAGACTAAACTTTGGATTACCTAATGTCAACATTTAGTGAGAGTGAGACACAAGATAATATACTCATGTCATGGCAAAAGCGAGAGTATTTGAACTAATATTACATAATACATTCGTGAAATGAAGTCATAAGTGCAAAAATCTATTCCATCCATGCATCCACAACACCATTGTCAGTTATAACTTGTGAGTTCCTAAAGAAGCAATAAGCGTAATATACATTTTTTCTTTTATTTAAATAGTGTATAAAATTTTTCGGTATAATTGATGTGACAATAGCAGGGACGTGGGGTTTTCTCCCAAACATATGTATACATATATTTATACAGTGATATATATGTACACATCCATTAACTCATAAATTTTCGACGTTCAGCCCAATATCAGAGTCAAAATAAACCGGTCCCCTCTTGCTATATTTAACTCTGAAGCGAAACTAATCTCTTTTCTTTTAGCGAAACGAATTCTTTAAAATTTGTTTTAAATCTAAAGACTCAGTTCTTTCTTTAAGAATGTTCAATGTGGTTACTTGAGATATTTTGATGCAGTAGTGTGGAATTAGACACTAGATGCCTATTTGAGCTACTTCCGTTTTTAATTTATATATATGGACTACGTTTTAATATAATGTAGATTCATGACTTAATGTTCGATACCTATCGACTTATACGTCAATTAGTGCCTCAGCTTTTAAATATCGATCTGAAGTTTTACACACGTCTTTTTCTCCCCAAGAAACTGCTCAATTATCGGAATCGCCGATTTCGGACCATTATCGCTTATTGCTGCCATATAAACCGAACTGAAAAATCTAGTTCTTGAATGGAAACTTTTTTTTTTGACAAGATATCTTCACGAAATTTGGCAAGTTTTATTGTCCGAGACAACATAACAATTTCCGAATATATTTTTCAGAGCGGACCACTATAGCATATACATAGCTACTATACAAACTGACCGATTAAAATCAAGTTCTTGTGAGGATTTTTTTTTACTTGCGAAGGGTATTATAGCATCGGTGAAACCCAAGTTAATTTTTTTCTTGTTTATTATATCAGTTATATATTTCAATGTTTAAAAAGGAAGTATGCGTGGTTGTGGTCCGATTTTACTGTATATATATATATATCTTTCCATATATTGATTGAAGTACGAATAATGATGCTGTTTTTCTGCGATTTTTTAAATTAACCCGAAAAAATTTTCAATACCAACACATACCATAGATATGAGTATATACATATGTCTTTACTTTTATATGACTGTTTTCTGTTCCCATGTGTGTAAAGAAAAAATAAATAAAAGTGTACAAATATATACAAGTACATGAGATAATTTTTAAATATTTTATGGGCATATTCAATAGTTTACTCAGAAACAAAAGTGAATTACTTAAACTTCTCTACAATATACATATGCATGTAGAGTATGTATAGGTATACCATATATTTTTCTACTTCTATCATATATGAGCCGATTTGTAGTTGTCACGTATTAAGCCACAGGGATGACTGAATTCCTGATAACCAGAATGCACCCAAATGTTGCAAACTATGAAGTAAATGAAGATATTATGGATTTTATGTATAAATTATATGAGAACTTACTTCGCTTGGTGCCCTTGATTACAGGGCAGCCGGCATGCAAAGTACGTCTGTCGGGATCTAAAGACTTATGCAAGTTACGCCACATAACCATCGAACCCTTTACGGGTTTCGCGTAAACATTCAAGAAGGGAAACACAGTATAACCACCCTGCTCGACGTCAGAAGCCTAGTAATAATGACTATCGTTAAAAGGATTCAAAAAAGCAGTTAATGCATAATTGATCATACAAAGAATAAATGTGTTGCTATGCGATTTCCAATCCATGGAGATTTAACAGTCGGATCCTGTTCAAATGAGTAAAGAAAATTAAATTATGAACCCTACATTTCGACTTTAAATTATTTTTGTTTGCATACAAAGTTATCGAAATAGTCGTGGTGCGGATCGTACTGCCCCGATGCATAATTTGCCACTGCATATCTTCAGCATTCGTTAAATCGAAACCAGTTATAGCCGATACCGTACGATAGATGTATTTTAGCGTTGGACTATGATATGTTAGCCAAGTTTGTTGGCTGACGCGCACATCGCGAACCAAATGTTCATTTCCACCGCCAACACGTGATCGAACCATATGTGCTTCGGACTGATCAAGTATATCATCATATGTTTATCGGTTAGCACTCCATGGTACACGACAATTTCGGGATCTGCATGCAATTCTTCTTTCGCAATGGGCCAATATGAATAGTGGTTGATTGAGAGTATCTAATTTGCACTTGAGTTGATGTAGTCCTTTTGTTCCACTTGTTGACCTTGACACAAACGTGAGTAGTTCGCAAACCATTCGAAACGCTGCAAATCAAAGAAACTGTCGAAAGCGGGGCGATTTTGAGGTTCTTTAGTATTCATATAAACTTTCAAGTCCTTAAAAACATGTTCCGGATTTATATCTAATATTTCGTTAATGTAAATCTGCATTTCTTCTTGTTCACCCAACTCATAGTTGGCGAGTGCTAAATACTCCAGTGTTTCGATTAATATTTTCTCTGTTAGTGGATCTTGTTCGGATGCAGATGGTTTTTCTTGATGGTTGTTGCTTCTTTCGATATCATTTTCGTAAATTATATTACCTTCTTCATCTAGTTCGTACAATACTAAGTGTTCGTCGCCATCATTTCCACTGTTATCTTCGTAATCGTCAGCATTACTTTGCATATTTGAAAACATAGCATTTCTACTTCCCTTATTATATTTTCATCTTCAATTAGTTCATCCTCTGTGTTCTCTCATTACCAAATCCTTTAATGAAGTCTTAATACTCGCATCTTCACCAATATTCAGCAGCTTCAATACTAACTGTAGCCATTCTTTTGCTAACGGGTATTCCTTAACTTCGAAAAGACTGCTTCCGATTTCAAAACACTCGTCACAGAGAGTTCCGAACTTGAGAAATAGGAGATATTACTTGTTATTCCAAAATTCAACTTTCGTTCCTAATTTTACTCACCCATAGTTAAGCCATTGAAATACCATCTGCCAAATCAGTTGTACTTAAGTTATACATGATCTGCAGGCGCCCTAAACCTTTGGCCGCAGCACGTAGATCACTTATGTCAGGGAAAGAAATATCCGCAGTTAACGCTTTAGGTTTTCCTTAAGTGCTATGTTTTGAGAATATAATCATATGGCTAGTGTGAATGGAAATAATAATTTCATGATAAAATACAATAGGTAGTCAACCCGAAACCAAATTTCGGTACAGTATTAAGAACCGTGCCACAAAATATATTATTGGTATTTTGGACATCCAATAAAATCCGCAAATTAGTGATATTTATTTCTATATTAAATATTAATTATTTTAATAATTCGCTATTTTCCAAATAATAATGGCTTTCTGATTTAGTGTGAAGAGCAATTATTGAACTAATGAACGTGAAAATATTAACTTTAAATTCGTCAAACACTCACCTTTCAGGCCTTTGTTAAACCCAATATTTTCCGTTATTACAGTCCAGTCAACTACAGTTCGTTTAATTAATTTGTATGCATTTAAAGGGTTTCCAGATATTCCTCGGGATCCTCAGCGCCAATGCTGTTCCTTCTTTACTTTTTCTATGAAACTGAAATAAATTTAATTTATACAGTTCACTAGTAATGCCAACAGCTGGTTTTAGTAATAACTATGCACCAACTTGCGATATACTGCAAAATCGTCCGCCTGAGAATCGAGCAAATTCCTATACCACTGTATTAAATCTTCCTCTGCGACTGCCAGCACTGGTAAGCTGTCGGTTGATGAGAAGTACTCGGCTTGACACGTGGCAGTCCAAAGTGCGATGAAAAGTAGTGGAGGTAGCAGTGAAGAGTAATTCTATTTTACTCTTAACTTTGGGCTTCGGTTGGTTATAATTCGAAGTTGCGTTTGCGAAGTCATTTTCAGATTTTTCTCTCGTCTGAAGAAGCTTAAGTTCTTGACGCTTCAATACTATTCCTTAAATGAAATGTATTTTTTACTTACCGTTGTGACGATCAGGAAAGCGTGGCTCGGAGTAAGTCATTCATCACACGGTTATGTGCAGGTGTTTCAGTTTACTTATGGCTTATATTTATTGTATATACATACACATTTAGTTACTATGATATGGATAAGTGATACGGAAACAATTGTTGATCGATGTGCACTTACATAGGTAAATATATATGTATATTTTGTATAATACATATTTTATCAAATTTACATCATGTATGTGTGTATCAAACATGTATTTTTGAAAGTTGTCAAGCACTGTTTACTTTATCTGTTATATAAATGTTGAACTTGTATGGACTCAATATTAGGAGAGAAGTAAATATCGTAGTAAAGAAAATACAAATGTGTCTAGTATAGAACACTCAAATAGTTTATTTCGAATCCTCAAGTGTATACATACCTATATATGTACATAGATGTATACTTTTATATTATATACAGGTATGACCTATTCTTTAATTAGCAAAATAGTTGGCACAATTTGTTCGTATATTCTGGATTGTTTTGGAAAGCAAATCAGATGGTTATTGAATGGATCTACACTTTTGATTCCAACATCAAAATAATAATATCAGAATTCCTGACGTATGAGTTTCTATGCTAATTCCCTGTGCTTCAGATTTCACACAAACCCTGACTATTATTTAAATTTTTCTAGAGGAATTAGTCATAATTTACATGTTCAAAAATATTTAATACTTTCCCCTTTGTCATGGAGTACAATTATAATATATTTGTTCACATGATGAAAAATCGGTAGATTTCGAATTGAAACCAAGCCCACTTCAAATATAACGCCGCT